ACATACTGGAATCTCCATAACTGGAGATTGGGCTGCCACTTTTGAGGAATGATGAAGACACGATCTTTGACAAAATTTTCTTAAATTGGTTAATTACTATGAGAAATTAATGTGGATCATGTGATCACTATGAGCCAAAAGAGAAATTCAATACTTAAGAAGATTCTATTTTATTATTTCAACTTCACAATTTAATACACCAGGTTTTATTTCTGTCTTTTTAAAAAATATGGCCAGTATGTGTCCTGAAATACTGCATTTATTAAATGCAGTCTTCTCTTGGATGACTGTATCTGCATCACTGCTGTCCAACAGTTCAGAAGATACAAAATACTGTGAACCATGGCAAGTGCTAATGGCATTTATTTAGAAGAGTAGTGACACTAAATAGGAAGTTATTCAATTTGGCTTGATTTGAATTGATTTTGAATTTGAGATGATTGGTGTCAACGTTTTACGGGCTGGTTCAGCCCAGTTCTGTGGCCAGTGGGGTGGAGGGATCTGCGGATATGTTCCTCCAGAAAAGGGACCCCAAAATAATTGAAAACTGCAGCAAGGATCTGAGGTGAAACAAACTAATTTATTAAATATAGTAATATATAATGAGAGAGAGCGTGTCCGAAAGGTGGATAGGCCTCACCACAACACTGAGGTGAGAAGTGCAGTCCAGTTGAGCCGATGAAGAAAAGCAGATGGAGAAAAGCAGACAGAGAAACGCAGGCGAAGAAGAGCAGGCGGAGAGAACATCAGGTGACCTTGCCAGGAGTTAAATCTCCTCGCTGACTGCAAAGCCCCCTGGGGAATGTAGTTCTTCTCCTCTGGACAGGCACCAGGAACTTGAGCATCAGCAGTCAAACCCCCAGTGCATTATGCATTACGTGATGTTATGGTGTCGAATACCAATAACCAAAAATCATAAAACCATGACAATTGGTTTTACTGAGAGTGAGCCATAGAATCATAGAATGCCTTGGCTTGGAAGGTAACTTAAATATCATCCAGTTTCAACCCCCTGCCATAGGCAGGGTTGCCAACCGCTAGGTCAGGCTGCCTAGTGCCCCATCCAACCTGGCATTGAACACAAATATATGTTTTAAACCAGTGGATACAATTGATATTGATCATGAGCTTTACTCAATGAGGAGGTTAATAATCAGTATCAAAAATGAATACCTTCAGTAGAGAAGTGTTAATTGCAAGAGTAAATATGAAGACAGAAATCAGAGTTTGGAATATTAAACTTTTAGAAATAATAAATAAATTTAAAATATTACCACTGTGACAAAATAGCTCCAGAGTGAACCAGCAATTTCTTTAGTCTAGTTTAAAAAAAAATGTATTAAATCTTGTACTGTTATGTTTAGCTGTTACTTGCCAAATTTTTGTACATTTTAAATCACTGAGCTGCATGTAATTGCATATGCTTGCAAGTTTTAAAAAACCTGAACAAGGTGTACAAAAGCAGGAATTATAAACATGATTAAGAAATTATTACAGAAAATCAATAGGATGTCTATTTTAATAAAGCATTCCAATGTGTTTTATTGTATTTGTTTCAGTCTTCTACATAACTATGACTTTTCTTCTGTAAATTTTGCTTAAGCTATTGTCTTCACATCTGTATATTAATGGAGGAGCTGATTCATGCAAGAATGTTAGAATTTGCATATTTATATATATACAAATTTAAACAAATGCATGCAGAAAATATTATATAAAGAAATGAGCAGATACTCAACATGTTCCAGCAAAACCTTTCCACAAAAGCTAGGCAGAAGTCCTTGACTACCACCGCTAAAGAAGCAAAGGGAAATGTCCTTGGCACGTACTGATTTACAAAGGTGAATGCTAATCAGCCTTCTTATCTTTGGAAATACTTGCAATTTCAAAAGGATTTATTCCAAAATCAGTGCAAGTTCTGAAAGTTACACTTTCAGAAACAAGCACATAATATAAACTTTTTAACAGGCTGGATAGAACTCTGAGTAACCTGATGTAGCTGTCCCTTTTCATTGCAGGGGAGTTGGACTAGATGGCCTTTTTAAAGGTCTGTTCCAGCTCTAAGGATTCTGTGATTTTGCAATTTGGAGTAACTGAAGCAGTAACTGAAGCAGTAACTGAAGTGATACTTTCTATGTATTTTTGCTGTAATTAGATGTTAGTTTACATTCAAAATGCCATTTTAAAATGAAAGGCTGATATTTAAAACATCTCAAGAAAAGTTGTGATTAGGGAAAGTAGCATAATTATTCTATTTAGACAAACTGGCAGTTTCCAGTGAAAATTTTCAGCATATTCTCCACTCACTTTGCTGAGTGCTGTGCTGATTGGCCATATGCTACTTGGTACAGTGGAGTCTCGGTCTTTGACAGGTAATACTACAGTCCTCTGTAGTATTAATAACGATTTTTTTTTTTCCATTACTGTTTCTGCTTGTGAAATTCCTCAATCATTCAAAAAAGTTCTCCTAATTGGTTTGTGTGGGAAGCCAGACATTTTATTTATTTAGCTTAGAAGAAGCTGGCATCACTTTTGAACGTATTTTTGTTTCTTGTAGGCAGGTGGAGGTTAAGCAGAGTATATGCATTATGTCTTCTAGGGTGGTGGAAGCACTAATCTCTGTGTGCAATGATCTGATGTCCCCATTGTGTCCAACACTAAGCAATCAAGTCCTAGTGTGTCAAACCATAGAATTTCACACAACAATTCATTGATTTAATTAACTAGAATGGTAAGTGGGGCTTGTGAAAATAGCAGTCCAATGGCAGAAATGCATCTGATAGCTACACTAGCAATAAGTCTGGTACAGCAGTCACAAATGATATCATTCTGCACGACAAATGCATGAAGTCTCTCTGATGATATTTACAAAATTAATTAATAAAGATAACTCACCACAAATCATCACAAAAGAGCTTTAACAAGATGTTGAATTGCATTACGATATATAAATATTTCATAAATTATACTGGAATTTTTCTTTCTTCTCTCTCTTTTTTTTTTTTTTTTTTGCTATTAGGAAAGTTTGAAGCTGGCTGCTAAGTATACTTGTGGCCAATATAAACAACAGAATGCTAATAATCCTCTGCTGATTGGGCTACCTATTAGCCGATTTTGCATTGACAGGATTTGTCTGATCTATGCAATCTGAAATGGCAAAACTAATATCTGTAAAAAAGCTGAGAAATAGATACATCAAATCATAGAATCTTTTGAGTTGGAAGGACCTCTAATGGTCATTTGGTCCAACTCCCCTGCAAGAAACAAGGATACATACAACTAGACCAGGTTGCTCAGTGCCCGGTCCAGCCTGACCTTGAATGTCTTCAAAGGGAAGGATCACCTTCTTTGACCTGCTGACCACACTTCTATTCATGCAGTGCAGCATACGGTTGGCTTTTTGAGCTGTATGGACACATTGCTGGATGTTCTCTGAAAAGACAGTTTATATGATGGCCATATATTTTGAGAAAGTGCATTCTAAGCATCTTGCTATCCAGTTTGGAATAAAAAGGAAATACACTTTAACAGTAGGAGTCTAAATATTAAAGCAATTTCCATCAGCTCTGACATGCAACTACCAAGATGACTTTTGTATGTTAACTCTATATTTAACGGCCTTGAGTTAATTGGGAAGCTGTTTGCATGCACTTTGGCTAGCATTATGCACATCTTAATTTATCTGAGATTTGGCTCCATGCCTGTGGAAATGGCAAGATTTGGGATCAAGAGCTCTCTCGTAAAAATATACAGAGCACTGTACAGGGGAGAATCCATTTCTGGGTTATCACTTGTGACAATTCTTGTTTATTGTAGGAGGAATAATCATTTTAATTCAATAAAATATGAATTAACAGAAACTGCCAGTGTAAGATCCATGCTATCACAAGAAAAGCAGTTCCACTTCATCTTTATGTAGATTCTTGTGACAAAGATCAAGAATGAAGCAGCTTCTACAAATCAGTAGAGATTAGATGTAATTTTCGTATCATAATTAACTAATCATTTGCCATTGTCATCATTGTATTTAAAAACCCAACAGACAAAATGCCTGCTTCTGATTAAATAGATACTTCTGTTTTGAATCTCTAATAATAATTATATTAAGGCACTTCTCTTTGTTGTGAAAGATTGTTTGGGTAATTGAATGTATTCTGGAAAGAAATAATCTGAAATTTTAGTTTTAAAAATAAATAAATTAAACAAAAATGCTTTGCAAATGTTGAAACTCTTAGCTGGAATGTTTTCTTACACATATAATTGACTCAATAGAAAAACTTCAGCAAAAGTTATTGCCTCACTGTTTCTTTAAGCAAAATTTCCAGCGGCAGCAAAAGGATGGTTTCAAAAGCCAGATTTTAGAAGAAAGAGGAGCAAGATGCACATTTCTCTTGCTTGTTATACAAAAGCATCTTAAGAGTGCATAGGGAAAATGGAGAGACTTCTTGTTCTTTGGAGTTCAAGAGTAGCGCTCCTAACAACAATCTGGAATTGATTTTATTCATTATTTATTCACGGGCATAATTCTGTCCCCAGCAGAGGTGTTGGAACTAGATAATCTTTAATCCCTTTCTATCCAACCCATTCTGCTCTATAATTCTGTGATGTAACTGAACTGCCTAAGTATTAGCAACCAGTGATTCGTGAAATGCTCTGGAATATCAGAGGAATCTTTCATGGTACCTACACAGAAACTAGGTCTTTTTCATAGAATCATAGAATCATAGAATGGCCTGTGTTCAACAGGACTATAAGGATCAAAGCCCTCTGTACAAGGGCTGCTCAGACGGATCCTCCTGTGTTCCAGCTTGTGCCCATTGCCTCTGAAATGCGGTGCCCACTGTACCACTGAAAAAAATCTCTATCTTCTTCCGCTCTCTGTTTATGTTGATAAAATCCCTTCTAAGGAAGCCTTTTCCTCAGGCTGAACAGCCTCCCAAGATCTCTCGGCCTCTCCTTTGTAGGAAAGATGGAACATTTGTACTAAAGTTTAGTGCTGATGGTTCCACTGAGGATCGAACTCAGGACCTTCTGCGTGTAAAGCAGATGTGATAACCACTACACTATGGAACCACCACAAACACATCACTGTACCATGACATGATCTCTCCCCCTCCCTCCATCTTAACTGTAACTGGAAAGACTCGCCTCAGTGTAGATACTTTATGCTGTATCCATTGAGTCCTCTACACAATATTTACATGCAGTGTCATGGGAATTGGTACAGTGTCACTGGAAAAGGCACACAGCAAAAAATTCCTAAAGAATGGACATAATTTGTAATCCGAGAGGGAAAGCTCTCATTCAAAATAACTATTGAAGATAGGCTGGAAGGTAATTTAAACAAAGGGTAGAAGACACAAGATTTAATGGAGGCATCTTCAGTGAAAATATCAGAAATAAGCATAAATAACATTTATAGTTAACATGGAGTCAAGGGAGTCTAGAGAGTAATTTATTCTGTTTGAATGTCAAGTCTGTAAGCCATCCTGTGAATTATAGCATGAACAACTTTTCCACTATCAACAGGAACTTCACAGACTATAGAATTGTACCAGGGTGTCTCTGTTACATCCAGGTGTGTCTGGCACAGCTGTCCGTACACAAAAGCCAGTTGGAGAGAGAGAAGCTCTGAATGCAGCACAGTCAGGTTCAGAAGAATCACATTTAAATTAACAAGTCTTATCTCATTCATTTCAGCAAAGCACCTCTTTATCAAGACATTTTTGTCTCCAAAACAAACATAGCTTCTTCTCATTGAAGTATTTACCGTGTTTGTTTGACCACTTTTATTAATTTTGAACAGCAAAGACAGCACAATATTATTATTTCATCTGGCATATAAACATTTATTTTGTATTGCACGGGAATCAGTGAAAGCATCATTATTTCTCTACTGAACATGCTTTATTGTTTTACAGCTTACACTGTCAGGTTTAGCTGTTTACTTGTTTTTGTTTCCACAGAATAAAACATACATCTTTGTGATTAATAATATTTAGTCATGATTGTTGTTACAGATCTCCTCCATTTCATTTAAAATAGAAGTGCTCATAAAAATGAAGAATGTTTATATTTATTGTCACAGTTGGCAAGAGTTTGCTTTCTAAATAACAAAAAGAATTTCTGAATTTATTAACAGTCAACTAAGATATATTCTTAAGAATTTCAAGTATGCATTAGCAAAAAAACATGCACAATTTAACCTGTTGCCATTGTTCTGAAAATTTTTATATGGAAAATGAATTTTCACAAGGATATAAAGTTTTAATTTCCTGGTACCAGAATGCTATTCTAGCACAGTTGCTTGAGGATTTAATTCCTGGTTTTGCTTTGGGGATTTTTGATAGAAAGTAAAAAGTAGTTTGCCATTCATAAAGACAATATTAATAGTTTAATTTTTAACAGTAATCTGATCTATTTTTCTTAACAGAAAAAAAAAAAAAAAAAAAAAACCCACAAAACAATAAGAACACACAATGCATTGCCTCTATCTTGGTAGTTTCTTTCTTTACAAGTATGACTGCTCAGACATCCTGTGTTAGTTTCTAATGCTCTTTCTTCTTCTTTTTCTTCTTTGTTTCTTTTTTTCCCCTGCATTTGAGTATAAATGAAATATATTAACATGATGCCATGGAAAATACTCAGTAAGATATGCTGGAAGTCTAACTGAAGGTTTCATTTGGAGATGAAACTCTGAGCATGTTGAAGCTTGAATTCTATCAAATGCTATCCCAGTTGACCCAGCTATAAGTGGATATGTTATCTTTCAGATTGGGCAGTCAAATAGTTTCACATTGTTCCTTCAAATGTTATTGCCTCCAGAATTGATGTTCCTTTCTCAAGCATACCAGTGTATTATCTGCTGCGGAATTGACCTCTTTCATTTTAGTATTGTTTGACATAATGTACGTAACAGAGCCAGGTTGGAGGTAAATAGTGCTTATCTTGCATGAGGAACATATTGTCAGAACCTGCTTATTTCATCTACAGGACTGTTAATTGTAAAATAGTTTTTAGATTGTTATTTAACATGCTGAAGAATTGATTATGAACAGCTACTGTGAATAGAGATAATGAGAAAACTAAGATAGTCAGTATCTTTTTCATTAAGCTGCATTAGATTATAGGATGCTCCTCTGGATCAAGAAGATAAATCTCCATTTGCCCTAAGAAGATGGACAGATATTCCCCAGAGCCTCTGAAAAACATGGCAATTGGAAGACACTTTCTGTCAGTAGAACCAAGAACAGATAGTTGATGTTTGATCAGTTTGTCATTTACTTTGGCTTTTAGCAAAATTCAGTCGACACAGTGCTTCTATAAACAAAGCTTTCACAGACAACGTTACTGACAGTTTTATCTCAAGCAGATTGGTTTGGCAGAGGTTGCAGACATTTGATACGGCTTAGCAGCAGAATATCATTGTCACAACACAAGGTTATCCCAAGAGCAACCTGTTAGATGTTCTGACATTAAAGTCTTTAAGCAAAATTTCTGTAGGAAATGGTCCATTGACTGCCTGTGCCCTTTTCATACTGGTCAGGGCAGTAAGTCCTTTCAGAAGAGCTTATGTGATGGAAGCGAGATGATTTCCCATTTTAGAAAAGAATTTGCAGATCTAGTGCCATCAAGAGTAATGTTTTCACAGTCACCTCTGATAGCAGAAGTGAACAGCTGAATTGCCTTGTGGGGCTTTCAGTACTTCTGCTCCCACTGAAATGGCCCTTACACGTGATGCAAAGGAGCATGTTGTGACATTCTGCCATAAGGCAGACTTTATACCTTTGGCTCCTTATACTGGTTATGGTAAATTAACAGAAATCCATGATGCACTCCCAAACTCTTTATTTGGGAATATGTTCAGTGATCTGGAGTCATTAATCTCCACATAAAGAGTCTGAATTTTAAGCAGGAGGGGTTTCTTAGATCCCTCTGTGTAAAACACCCAAAGCACTTAGCAGCTCAGAACTACTGGTCAAATCTGAAAATTACACCCCCTAGAATTCAGGAAATGATAAATAAAAATAATTTTTAGCTTCATGAGATCAAATTTTGGCCTAATGAGAGAATGATTTTTCAAGTTTGATTTGATTAGATTACATATGAGAAATATTTGCCAAAAGGCATATACAGGGAGAGATGTAGGATAGCCACTCTTTATCAAATATAATTTACTTCCATTTTTAATTACAGATCTACACTGATCAGATGCAAACTCTGTCCAAGACCCTACATCTGTAATGTCTCCAGTTTAGCAGTGGAGTTAAGTTCATTCTATGTTTAGGCATATATTAATAAGAACAAACAGCAGAAAAAATAAAGTTACTGCCGTAATATTTACAGTCAAGTTTGCCACAAGTCAAATATTTCTGTGCATCAGATACAGGCAGAAATGGATGAAAGACATAAACAAGCAATTCATTCATATTAATCTGTTTCATAGTGCAAGTCCTCTGCAAACTGATTTTCTTTCTCTCTCCTATATGTCTATTAAATCATTTTTTTGTGAAATAAAGGTATTTTCTGGATCATCTGCAAAGTGAATACAAAATTTTTACATTAAAAACACATAATCTTAATGTACTTACAGGAGCCTTTTCAATAGAATAAATAAAAAAAGATTGGTTATCTAGTATGAAAAAATTTAGGAATACTAAAAGTATGTTTTATTTTGCTTTCATCTTAAATATTTTGACTTTTTTTTTAGAAATAAGTGAAAGACATTTAGCACTTAAGTTACTCAAGTTGCATGTGAGAGACACAAAGTTTTGTCTTCAATTCACATTATACAGTTCAGGCATTGAAGTGTGAACACATAACTATCACTTCCATAAAAACAAATAGAAGATTCTTTTCCTCAAAAATCACCAAAGAATCTCTAATCCACATAAATTCCATGAAATGATCTATTTGAATTATAATATCGAAAAGGTTACTTGCATTAAAGCACATATATAGAAAGGGAGCTCTACTAGTGATGAAAGCTACCATATTTTTAACATGGAACACATATGCTTTATTTCCAGTCCTTCCACTTGTAAGTTAACAAATCATAAAGAAGTTTGATCTATGAAATGTCATACAGAAAGTTCCACCTTTATGCTGCTACCATGTGGAGAATTGCCAGATGGAGAACAAAGCAAAACAAAACACAGAACTCAAGATCCCTGATCTCAATTTACACTGAGATGGCCTTAGTCCTGCTAACATTAAACATTGCTATGAGAAGAAGTAAGGCAGGGAGAGAGCACGACTGCCCTTGCAGTCCACAATCTGGCTAGTAAGCATCCCTTCTGCACGAGCATCTCACCATATTCCCATTAAGGGATGATGTTACAATACAGCACAGGACATGTACGTGTCCTGGAGACATCACCACAGTTCTACTTTGTGGAGTGTATGAGCCCAGTAGGTGAAACCCAGGTAAGTTGTCCAGGCTCTACTAAGAGCAGACAATATTTCTATGTGATAGCTGAAAAAGAGACACATGCCATACCAGTGGCTAATATAATTACCTTCGTTTTACAACAGGATAAGCACTAGCTCTGAAGACAATGCTTTTTAGAGAAGGCCCCAATTAGAAATATAGCAAATCCAGCTACCAGCCCCTGATAACCATACTGAAGGATTCCTGTGGGACTGACTAGGATAGTATCTACTACACCAGCTTTCTTGGAAGACTTTATCTGCAACACGGATAGATGTAGGTAGCTGTCATAGCCTGAGTGGACTGCAGCTATCCTACCAGTTTTCACAATGATGGCATTTCAATTGACATAGTTGTCTTCTATTAAAATCCCTTCTTAAAATGGCCAGAATTCATTTGCCAAGATGTCAAACAGTATTTGTAAGGCCTTCTGAAGTCAAGCAATATGAATGGCATTTTCACTTCTCAGTGTTCATCATCATTCCAGGTGAGAGTTCCAAATTTTCCTGTGGAGCAGCAGGAGGCCAGTGTGCCATCTAGCCAGTGCAGACTGGAAGGCATTCAGCCAAAACTCACTAAAAGCAGCTACTCTTTCTTCTGACTTCCTTAACATCTGGAATACTTTTAGAGTTTATTCTTACAG